TTACAAGGATCAATCTAAGCTATATATACCTTAACTGCCTGCCAACAAAAGGAAGGCAGAAGATAACACTCTTTAAAGGAGGATAACAAAATCCTTAGAAGATGATCAAATGATTTCCATCAGGGGCCTCTGCTTACCTCAAAATTCTGAGAAGACACATCTTGGTTATAAGACACATCTCCAAGACACATCCTTGACAGAGGAATTAACCCCCCACCTCAGGAACTTTAGAAGATGGGAGGGGCTTATTATCAAAAGTCAGTTCATTCTAATTCTGGAAAGTTCTCATTGTTAAACTCTTTATTAAACTAAAATCTAAGTCCATATAACTTCCACTGAGTGGTACTAGTTCTTTCCCCATGAGTCACAAATAATAAACCTAAGTCCTCTTCTCCATGCTAGTCTTCAGAGTTATAAGAACCAGTATATTTTCCCAATCTCCTTTTCCCAGATTTCCAGATTCAACATCAACAATGGCTTCAACTTTCTCTTATAAGACTTTAGTTCTAGATATTTCACTGTTTAGCTCACTCTTTTCAGGATTACTGCAGTTTTTCAATGCTCTTCTTAAAACATGGCCCTGTGTGGTAGACATTTTTCAGGTGTTATGAAGATGATGCTGTTTACATATTCAAAGCCTCTTCTAATCCCCTTTCTCCTTGCCTGCTAAACCCATTTCCTGATCTGGAAGTTTCTGATGCCCAAAACAGACTCTCCCAGCATCTCTAGCTGCTACATCAAGAACATGAGATCCTATTCATGATGTAGCAGCTAGAGAAGAAATATGCTAGGGACTGCCGAAAAAAAACTTTCCTCTCTTTAAAGAGAGATGCGTGAGGAGAAACGACACTTCCCCAACTACTTAATTCCTGACTTTGAAGATACTTGGAGCTGCAGTATTATCTGGCAACCATAAAGAAACCAACAAAGAAAACTGTAGAGAAGCCCACCCAGAACCCTGACATCATTGAGCCACTAAACTAACTCTGGAACAGCCTACTTCTAGTGTTTTGAAGTGAGAAAAATAAATTCACTTTTAGTCATATATTCTATAATTTGCAGTCAAAGAAGTCTAAATGATGCAGGCATCACTAAGAACAATGCCCCCAATTCACATACATAGTCCTTTGCAGCCATGTTTAAATAACGTGATCTTGACTCCTGGCCATAATCGACCCATGGACCCATGTCAACCTAACTCTCCCTCCTAGGAATTCAGAAGTGGAAATAACTGATGCCTGTTAGTCTCTGATGGGTACTTATTAAGCTGTAGCTGGGGAAGATAAGCAGAGAAAGTCAGTCAGCTTCAAGAAAACAAGAATGATACAGCTCAGCATAGAGAATCTAGAGTGAGAGCCAGTAAAGCCCCTGAGAGAGGGAGAAAGCAAACTAGGACCTGAAAAGCTTTCTATTTTCCCATCCCAAGTCCTCTTGATCTCTAGTTATAATCCTAGCCTTTATGGTTTACATGAGAGAAGGTTTCTGTTTGATCAAGACAAGCCTCCAGAATACCTTCATAAAAACATGAAAACAAAAAAATACACCTCCAAAGGTAACACATTATTTTTTGTGCCACAAGAGATTCAAATTCAGTTAATTTATTAGTCTCTTACTCAATTATGCCAAACAAAAGGCTAAGCAATTTTCATAATGCATTCCATATTCATGGTCTTATTCAAGATATAAAATATTATCCCATTTTATAGATATGGAAAGTGAAGTGAAGAGACACATGAGTGGTTAAAGGACACAGACTTCTAACTAGCAGCTAAAGATTCCAAATGCTCTTTCTCACCACAGTCCCATGAAGCCCTGAGTATCAGATATTTGATAAATAGCTACTGAAAAATTAGCTCAACTGTTCCATTTCAATCCATAATTCCAGATCTTGATGTTTCCATGTACTGACCTGCTGCATACTTTTCAGCAGAAATTTCACTAGGACTAGGGATTCCAAGGGAAGTCTCTGCCTTCTCAATGACGGTTGAAATACCTTGCCCTGTAATAAGAAAAATGATAACCTTTTTTACTATTAGTCATCAAACTGAAGAAACAATCCAAAAATCAAACTTGCAGATATTTTAAAGCACTTATGGCCAGAAGACATGTTATTTTGACAATACATAACTAATCCTTGGGACTATCTCCTTAT